TCGCGCACTCTTGAAAATATTCGAAAAATTATCACATATCTCATATTAATTCAGGAAATAGTCGATATAGGCTCATTTTGGCACCTTATAATATTTATATCAGGCTTAGGTCAGATACGAAATGGACCAATATTGGCCAAAACTTTCGGAACCTTCGCCATGAAGGGTTAAAAACTACAGTAACGGGTCGACAAAACCGATACTTTTTATACCCTACACCACATAGTGGTAAAAATCTGTTCAGATTTGGATATAGCACCCATATGTATCTTTATCCGATTTCGTGTTAATTGTGCAACAAATGGCCAATATCAACTGAAATGGCATGAATTTTGGCATATCTGGCCAAATTCAGCCTAGAAGCAAGGACACCAATTTTAGTAAAAGTCGTTTCAGAGATAGCTATAGTTCGTAAAATGCACGATAGAATTAGATAGATTTTGATTTTGTACCAAATATCTCATAGAGCTCTGAAGTACCCTGTATAAACCTTTTTACGAGAGCTCTACTAAATATGCATAGTGGTGTAGGGTATCATATAGTCGGCCCCGCCCGACTTTTGAGGTTTCCTTACTGGTTAACTTGTTAAAGATGAATTTTACTACACGAAAGTAAACAGATCGACATAAGTTAAAGTGAGTCTAATGGGAGTTTTTTGCGTTCTGGGCTCATTATATATATATATTTTTTGCACGCGTATTGGTATAGTTGTATCTATGTATGTATGTATGTGCATGCATATAAGTGCAATTCTATGTTGGTATATTTACAATAGTGTGAACGTTAGTCCTATGGCTGGGAACTCCCACATTAACGCACACAACTACATACGTTCATACAAATATGATTTTCACATGTGTGTGAATGCGCGAAGTCTAGTACATTATTTGTATATGACTATTTGCACAAAATGACATAATGCAAACGAAGTATTGAATATGTTGTAGTTGTTTTTGCATTGTTTTGATGCGGAAATACAAATACGAAGACACACACAATGGCATATTTCACTACATATTTATGCAACAGAAACACGGAACATATATCACTCCTTGTAGGGAAAACCATTCATAAAATGTTGCATGGGACATTAGTTTTTTTTTACCATAGAATGAGGCTAATACTCTGGGTTAAAACTATAAATCGAAAATCTTCGAAATTTCAAATATTCGTCGGGCAAAAAATTAAATTAATTAAAAAAACATTACTCTTAATACCCTCCCCCTTAGGGTAAAGGAAACATTTGTATATAAAAGTATCTGAGACGTGTTTCACTTTAAACTTCATATACCAGTAAGACCTTTTGCATAATGCAGGAAAACTTATCAAAAAATTATAAGGTGATTGAGGCCGTTATATGGGGCCATATCACAAAAGGAACCTCTATAGAAAATTTTATACTTTAAGGATTGCCATCTATCAAATCTTTAAAATATCAAATTTGAAACAATTATGTGGTAAATATGACTAGGATTATCACAATTCCGAATATCGGTGGGTATCGTTATATTGTGCGCTATAGGAAAACGTGGAACTTAATATTCAATGTTTTGCCACCGGGCTAGACCCCATTATGAACTAAAAATACAAATTTTTATCAAAATATGGAATATCGCCGGGTACCGTTATATGGGGGCTATACCAAAACGTGGGCCAACACATACAATGTTTCACCACACGAACTATAAATACCAATTTCTAGAAAAATCTCTAAAAATGTGCAAAAATCATCAAAACACCGAATATAGGGAGATACCGTTATATGGGCGCTATACCGAAACGTGGACCTATACACACAATGTTTCATTTTCAATACCAACAATTCTATACAAATTGTTAAATTTTTTTACATTTAAATAAAAAGCTGTAATTATTTCCAAAAATTACGCTTGGGGAGGGGTTGAGGGGGCACATATTGTTCATTTTTGCAACTCAAATAGCCCAATATAAATATTGAGATTTGTAAAGCATGCAAAAAAATAGGATTATTCTTTCTTGCACTATAAGGAAAATTCTTTTCGCTTTCCAGGGGGTAGGCAGGTTTCGGAAAGAGCCATGTAAAATATGCCTATATCCAAATCTGAACCGATCTCTATAAAATTTGGCAAAGATATTTCTGAGCTGCATTTGATATATTTCCCCAAATATTGTTGTTACAGGGTGCATATTACGCCTGCGGTGGACAAATATAACAAATCGGATGAAACATATATATGGGAGCTATAACTATATCTGAATCAATTTCGATCAAATTTGGCATACTAATTTTCAGGTCTAATTTGGTTGTATGTGCAAAATTCCATAGTTTTCGGGCTGATATTACAGGTTTGGTGCACAACAAAATGCAAATCGGACGAAGATATATATGGGTGTTATATCTAAATTTTTACCGATTATCTCCAATTTCAATAGGGTTCGTCCTTGGGCCAAACAAATGATTTGTGCAAAATTTTATCTCAATCGGATGATAAATGCGACCTGCATTTTGTTCACAAGAATACATGGACAGATGGACGGACGTACGACAGACGGACTGACATGTATAAATCAACTCAAAAAGTGATTCTGTGGAGATCCTCAAAAGTAACTATGGGTCTATCTCGCTTCCTTCTCCATGTTACTAACAAATGCACAAAGACATAATACCCTTACCACTATGTGGTGTAGGGTATAAACAAGGGGACTGTTGAGGAATGGTGTATAAAAAATAAAGAATATCGAAAGGTACCGGTACAACTTGTTCCTATATGAATAATATTTTGCACCGACGTTTTCTGTCCACTAGGAAAACATATTGTCCATTTATAGCAAATTCAATAAACAAATATGGCTGAATTTTCAAAAATGCCTTTAACCGTGTGGCATTATATGGACCCTATACCAAAACATGGATCTATATGATCCCAAATTTTATACACCTAACACCATCTGAGAAAAACCAGGTATATCGACGAATTGCATTTCATTCATAAAAAAGGGATTTTCACAGACTGACACAGGTAGTACGAGTGATTTTGTCAAGATATTTGGATTTATGTCATTGAAAGCTTAGTTTATGCGAAGGACGCAGTCGGACTAATGTGCAGCAGACTTTGTACCTTCGATATGTGGCCCTGTCGAATTGTTCGTTCTCTTCAATTCCTTCGCTATTGTGAAAATATTATTGGTGCCTTTGGACCATATTTTGAGATTGTTAGCTTTTCTATAATAAAGGGTGATTATTTGAGAGCTGTAAATTTTTTAAATGACATGAGTTAATATTTGAAGATTATTTCTTGCAAAAGTTACATGGTCAACTGATCAACTAATTTTGGTATTCTTTTTCCAACATTTCCGCTGGTTCCTTCAATTGAAGCGGGTTCGCCTTTATAGATATTAACTTTAACATAGCACACAAAAAATAGTCTAAAGGCTTTAATCGCACGAATCCGCAACCGAAAGTTCGCCTTTATAGATTTTAACTTTAACATAGCACACAAAAACTAGTCTAAAGGCTTTAATCGCACGAATCCGCAACCGAAAGTAGAATGAAATGTTCACCGAACACGTCTTCAAATCTGAAGATAAACACGCCTTCAAATCTGAAGAAACCAAATACGAAACGTTCGTAACATGTTTCATATTTGGAAGGAATTTGGAAATTAATATAATACTTTGAAAATTCTGTTAAAAATCATTAAAATACCGAATATAGGAAGGTACCATTGTATGGGGCAATACGAAGACGTGGAACTGCGTACGCAGTTCTTTGTCACAGGATGTAGTACCCATTTCGAACTTCAAATACCAAATTTGATGCAATTCCGGTGAATAATGCCGCTAAAATCATCAAAATATCGAATATCGGGAGGTACCCTTATATGGAGGTCATACGAAGACGTGAACCTGCACAGACAATCTCCTGTCTTAGGCTGTAGTATTTCGAACTTCAAATACCAAACTTGAAACAATTCCGGTGAATAATGTCGCTAAAATCATCAAAATATCGAATATCGGGAGGTACCCTTATATGGGGGCCATACGAAGACAAGGACCTGCACAGACAATTTCCTGTCTTAAGCTGTAGTATCCAGTACGAATTTCAAATATAAAATTTGAAACAATTCCGGTGAATAATGCCGCTGAAATCAGCAAAATACCGAATATGGGGAGGTACCGTTACAATGGAACTATTTGAAGACTTGGACTTGCATAGAAAATTTTCTGTCACAGACTCTAGTACCCATTACGAACTATCATTACGAAATTTGAAACGGTTCCGGTGGGCAATGTCGTTAAAATCAGCAAAATACCGAATATAGGGAGGTACAGTTATATGGGGGCTATAACTGAAAGTGGACCTATGTAGCCCATATCCAATATTAAAAGCCCTGCAGACAAAATACACATTTGATTACAATTATATGAACCTTTTTCAATTCGTTCGGAAGCCAGAGTGATTTCCGCAGACGGACGATCATCGTTAAATCGACATAGAATTTTATGTTAATCAAGAATATATATAATTTTTGGGTTCTAAAATACTAAAATACTTCGAGGTTTTATAAACGGAATGAAAAAACTCAATATGTCCTCCATACTATGGTGGAAGGTATAAATATAGTTCAAAAGTGGCAATTAATGACAATATCTGTTTAGAACCAATTTGGTTCCATGGAAATATGTATTGTGAAAGCAAATCCCTTCCTCCATATCGTATTCCCTTTATCAGAAGGATCTATGGCTTTGATATGTTATTAAATATGTATGTATGTGTTTGTGATATTGCTGTTGTATGTTACGCATACATACAAATTTCCTTGTTGCAGGAAATCATGTCGTTAATATCTAAACAACAACAGCAACTACACATCTAAGCAATGGCCAACGACCCATGAAATACAACAAAATGTTGTTAGAAGGAATCACCATTCTAACATGTTTTCGCAACACAGTAGGGGGTACGGCTGCCACATTCATGTACCGAAACCGACAAAAAAACAATGTTGTGAATATTCGGATGTGTTTTATGTTTGCTATTGTTGCTCCTACAAATTATATATACCGTTTTTGCATTTAATAGGCAAATGTTGTTAATACCCCGACTCCAACACCACCATCACCAGTCCTACCATAATCAAGACAGAGGAGCAACAACATAATCACCATTAGCTGCTGGTAGTTGTGGTTTACACATAAAGCCGCCACTTCTGCTGCTGCCGCTGCTGTTTGCAGGATTTTCCATTTCTATTAAATCCAAACGAATTGTTGTTCGCAACGCAGTTAGTGTTGTTGCTGCTGGTGTTGTTATTGGTGTAATGCTGCGGCCGTGATATACGAATGGGGGATTCTTGTTTATTTCACGTCTCTTTGTTGTGTTGATGAAAATCGTAACAGTGAAATTAAGTTTTTTTTTTCCGTTTCCGTTTTGAATTGAACCGTGGGGAAATGTAGGACGTTTATTTTTTTACGAGTGCTCAGAGACCCCTGAAATAAAGGAAGTAATTTTTATTTATTTAATTTAATTTTATTTATTTTTGTCAGAAAATAACAACATCCAAAAGGGGCGTCATTGTAGGAAGGGGAAATTAAAATGTTAATAGGGGTCTTAGACAAAACTGCTTAAGAATCAGAAAAAACTTCAATATCTTGATAAAAATTAGCTATGTATGGCCTTCTGGGCGAAATGTATAATCTTCATATGCTGCCGCGATGCGACTGGAGTAAGGAAAAAAAGTATAAAAGCTTTAAGTTCGACCGGGTCGAACTTTGAATACCCTCCACCATTCGGAACGAATTTGGCAATTTAAAAAAAATAAAATCCATTTAAAATTCTGTTAAAATCTCAAAAATAACGAACTCGGTGAATAATGTAGATAAAATCATAAGAATACTAAATATCGGGAGGTACCGTTATTTAGGGGCTATACGAAGACGTAGATCAGCACAGACAATTTTCTGTCTTATTCTGTAGTAGTATCGGGAGGTGCCGTTATAAGATGAGATAAAAAACTTCAACAAAGTCAAACGCCATAATTTTTAGATTTTTTTGTTAAATTTTATTGAATGAAAGCAAAAAATGTCGGAATAGCAAATGGCCAATGTAATCGTCACACGTTGTCCAAATGTTGCTCTGCGGTATTTTGGCCCATTTCCAAGCGCTTGCTTGATGTGATCGACACTTAGTATTTTTTTGTGCCAACCTTGCTTTTCAAAATACTCCAGGCACAATAGTCCAACGGATTGGTGGCCATTGTGCGCTGGAAATGAAGCGAGGAACCTCATTTTGTAACAATTTTTAGGTGACGCGTGCTGAGTGCGATGGTGCTGAGTCCTGTTAGTATGTCCAAAGTCTGCGGCCAAAATGTTTGCGTGTCCAGGGCTTAAATACACCCTCCAGAACATTTTCGAGATAATAGTCGACATTTATTCTGATGCCACGGTCGATTAATACGAGCGGAGAGCGACCATCGTCGGTTATGGCGATCCACATCAACACCATGGCCGGCGCTTGAGTTCTGTTGGCCAACCGAAGGTGCACATTTTCAGCTGACCTCTTCGGCAAATAACGACAATCATTTTGTTTGTTTACGAACTGCTGAATAACGAATGTTTTCTCTTCGGAGAAAACCAAATTCGGCCAAGCGAAGCAACTCTTTAGCTCTTTGAGTCTATTTTCTTTCTGTTGCGGTGTAAGTTCTTGAACTTTTTGAATTTCAACGGCTTTAGCCCGAGCTCATTTTTCAATAATTCCTAAATGGAATATTGGGATATGTTCAGCTCACGAACCATTTTTCGGCCACTGCGACGCGGGTTTCGATATAGTCGCTTCTTTACTTTGATGTTGCTGTTTTTTTTCGTCCACTTTCTATTACGTCGGGCTACCCTACCAATATCAAGGAAACGAAAGATGGTACGAGCCACAAACGATTTAATCATATTTAAATGCTGGAGATCTCTATCGATAGCCACTTTTAGTTTTCCTGTCAAATATAAAGAAATCATACTATCACGCTTGAATTAAATCATGAATAACTTTTTTTCTGGAAAATTCTCACCAAAATGCTTTTGTACGCTTGTAAACAATAAAATGAGTTGTCACTGGAATAATTTTAAGAGCTGTCGGACGATTAGCTTAGAAATGACAGCAGTCTGAAATTTGTTGCAGTGTTTTCATCTCACCCTGTATGTGGGATTTATTTCTAAATTAGAACCGACTCTCACCAATTTCAAGAGAGTTCGCAGATCCGCAGAACCGACTCTCACCAATTTCAAAAGAGAGCAGATTCGCAATGAGCCGAACTTTCAATATATAGCGTTTAGCTTATTTAGCTTGTAACCATGAGGTATATCATAAAATTGCGTTATATATTATCCCTTAAAATTGTTTCATATTTTTGAAAAAAAAAAATCTTTCAATCAAATTCAATGAGACTTTATTAGCAATAATTGATAATTTATATAATCTTCGTTTGGGGCTCCTCATAGAATTTTTTTTTTGTTTTTAATATGGTCATGTTTCCAAAGAAATATGTGGACATTTTTTGTCCAGTTTTGGGATTTTTGGATTCCCCGAATCTCCGACTGAAATACCATATTATGGTCTGGCCAACTGTGAGATATGTTGGTTTCCAATAGTTCGATAAGGACAAATCGTTCCGATTTCTCCGAAGTTAAGAAGCACACGTATAAACGGTCTCTGTTTGGTATTAATATTTCACACATGATCTTTTAAATCACCTGTGGAGAGCCGGATTTGTTATTGTACAGAATATTTAGTGTGCAACCATTTTAAAATAATATCAAAACAAGTAAGCAAAGGCTATAGTCGTGCGGGGCCGACCATGTGATACCCTACAACACTAAAATTGGTTCGAAGTCTTCTTATATCCAAATCCATTTTTGAAGGTTTCGTTTTTATACCCTACAACACTATGTGTTGGGGATATTATAAGTTTGATTGGGTCAAAAATTATGTAACACCTCGAAGTATTGGTTTGCCACATAGGAAAATATATATTGATCTTCCTATCTCGCCGAGCTGAGTCGATCTAGTTATATTTGTCCGTCTGTCCGTCTGTCCGTCTGTCCATGTTAATTTGTAATCACTCTACAGGTCGCAGTTATGGTCCGATCTTCACGAAATTTAGAATGGAGATGGGGCTAGGGTCAGAATAGAACCCTATTTCTTTTGGAGATGATTGCATAATATTTATGGGTTGAAGTGGACCAAAAACTGAAAAATTTCCTGATTTTGCAGGACATGGAAGTTAACATGAGGCTAGAGCTCAGGACTGGGAAGAAGGAAGAAGTGTACATTTTTTCACCTTACAACACAGGTTGGGGTTATTACACAAAAAGAACTAGGCGTATTGTTTTCAAAGAATCCGCAATATATTTAGGGGTTGAAATGGGCCAACAACTAAAAATGTTCCTGATTTATAAAGGTCACAAAAGGACACGAAATCTCGCATGAAGTTAGAGTTTAGGATAGCGGGTAGAATGGACCACTACTTTTGTGTGATAAAAATACCAACATTTCCATTCTACCGACACGCTGCAAATAACTTATAGGTAATATCCAAAATACACAAAAGCGAACTTCTGGCTTTGTTATGCTGATTTCGTTGACAAATATAGCCTAATATCGTAGACGAGCAAATCATATAGATGAGTATAAATTTGGAGACACAGAAGGGTCTCTTGCTTTTTTAGATATAGGGGTTTATATGACCCAAAAACAGAAACAAATCCTGATCACACAATTGAAGCCAATCGACACGCCTGAGAAGAGGGTTAAAACAGGGAAAAGTTCTAGCATTTTGGATGACCATTGGATTATATTTAGCTGTAAAATGGACCACAACAACCAACAGCATGACGGAGTGCGTAAATATTGGGCAAATGTCCCTAGTCAAAATACTAAGGGTAATATCTGGGCAGTGTTCCGTGACATAATTTCAAAAGCGAAATCTTCCAAAATGGAGTTGGACATAAGGAAGCTTCTAAAATATTGTAGTGTTGTAGGGTATCACTTGGTCGGCCCGCACGACTATGGCCTTTGCTTACTTGTTTTTTTTTTTTTTTTTTTTGTTTTTTTAATTTTATTGAAAACAAAAATAGCATCAAATTTTAGAATAAGTTTAGGTTTGTTCGAATTGGCCACCTTGGCACGAATTATGGCCTTCAAACAGTCAATGAAATCGTCACACATTGGCCAAATGTTGCTCCGCGGTATTTTGACCCATTCCCGGCGAAGCGCTTGGTTGAGGTGATCGACAACTTGGTATTTTTTAGTGCCAACCTTACTTTCCAAAATACTCCAGACACAATAGTCCAACGAATTGGTATCCGGAGATATTGATGGCCATTGTGCGCTGAAAATGAAGCGAGGAACCTCATTTTGTATCAATTTTTAGGTGACGCGTGCTGAGTCCTGTTGGAATGTCCAAGGTATTCTGCCAAAGTGTTAGCGTACCCAAGGCTTTAATACATCCTTCAGAATATTTTCGCGATAATAATCGGCATTTATTCTGAATAACGTTTTTTATGGAAAATTCTCACCAAAATGCTTTCACTGGAATAATTTTAAGAGCCGTCGGACGATTAGCTTAGAAATGACAGCAGTCTGAATTTTTTGCAGTGTTTTCATCTCACCCTGTATGTGGGATTTATTTCTAAATTAGAACCGACTCTCACCAATTTCAAGAGAGTTCGCAGATCCGCAGAAGCGACTCTCACCAATTTCAAAAGAGAGCAGATTCGCAATGAGCCGAACTTTCAATATATAGCGTTTAGCTTATTTAGCTTGTAACCATGAGGTATATCATAAAATTGCGTTATATATTATCCCTTAAAATTGTTTCATATTTTTGAAAAAAAAATCTTTCAATCAAATTCAATGAGACTTTATTAGCAATAATTGATAATTTATATAATCTTCATTTGGGGCTCCTCATAGAATTTTTGTGTTTTTTTTTTTTGTTTTTTTTTTTAATATGGTCACGTTTCCAAAGAAATGTGTGGACATTTTTTGTCCAGCTTTTTAAACTCATAATAAGCTAAGTTTCGCTATTTAAAGAATTCATCAGTATTTCAATTTGGCTTAGGGGCTTTTGGATTCCCCGAATCCGCGGCTGAAATACCATATCTGGCCAACGATGAGATATGTTGGTTTCCAATAGTTTGAAAAGGACAAATCGTTCCGATTTCTGCTAAGTTAAGAAGCACACGTATAAACGGTCTCTGTTTGGTATTAATATTTCACACATGATCTTTTAAATCACCTGTGGAGAGCCGGATTTGGTACTATACAGAATAGTTAGTGTGCAATAATTTTAAATTAATATCAAAACAAGTAAGCAAAGGCTATAGTCGTGCGGGCCGACCATGTGATACCCTACAACACTAAAATAGGATCGAAGTCTCCTTATATCCAAATCCATTTTTGAAGGTTTCGTTTTTATACACTATGTGTTGGGGATATT